AACTTGGCAGAGATCACAAGACTTTCGTGCCAAAATAACGAAGGCCTCGCTGTCTATGCCGTGTGGTGCCAATGTGGAAAAAAGAAAAGGGAAAGACTCCAGGGTCTGGAAATACTTTCTCAGCCATTACAGGGGGCACAGCCTGCCAGGGCCCCGCACCCTACCTTCATCTCTCCACAGCACAGCTGCTCGAAAGATGAGCGAGCCATTAGCTTTGTTCTCAGAGCCAGTTTACCCTCATTTTTCTGAATAAAGGAACCCAACTGCCTAGGAGAAACAGGTGTTGCCCGCTAGAGAGAAAGCACGAGCCGTTCTAACAAAGCGGCCCGGGGATGAAACAGACAGGCAAAGGCGTTCTTTTCATCCCAAATGACTTCAGAGCTCTCTGCAGACTCACCTAGTAGCACAGACGGGATACCACACAGGGCATTGCTGTGGCCCAGGAGTAGACAAGATTCCACTCCCTCCGAAGAAGACCACGGGGAACCCAGAGCTCAGCAAGAGACATCAGTGGCCGCTGGGATCCCACTGGGGTCTCTTCTGTCTCCCTCACCTCCTGATGCCTCCCACCTGCAGAGGGTGGCAGCACCCCCACCACGGGCTAGGGACAGAGGGTGCAGCTGCATTTTCTTACTGTGAAGTGGTCCCTCAATTATAACCTGTCCAAAGGGGAGAGTTGATGCCAGGGACTTTGTCCAGAGCCAGGTCTAGAAGACCCAGCATCATCTAGGGAGCAAGTCATGCCAGCGCAGCTGAGGCTAATCAGCGAGAGGCATTTTATCCAGCATGTTCCTGCAGAGGAGACAAGGGAAGCCTCTGTGAGACACACATCAGGACTCAGGGCTTTGCACATCTAGCTGATCAGAGAGTAGTTCCAAAGAAAAAGGTGTCAACACCCACTGTGGAATACAAGCTCTTATCACCAAAACCACGCCGAGTGGCCAACAGGATGCTGAAAAGTGTTTTTAAGCAAAACTCAGTTCATGATGGTTACACATTTCGGCCCTTTGTCGCTCCTCTATGCATTCCATTTTTGTAATGAAAAAGTTAAACATCAAAACACGTGGAGAGTAACCCCATGTTTCTATTTATCCCCCCAACAGGAGCAAATGGTAGCATTCTACCATGTTGAACTTCTGAGCTCAAGCAATCCTCCCCTCCCCAAGTGCTGGGATTACAGGCATGAGCCACCCTGCCTGGCCAATATCATCTTTTAAAGAAATGTAATACAACAGAGTGGAAGCTCCCTGTGTACCTATCCCCAAGCCACAGGTACGCCCACGACACCAGTGTGTGTGGTTTCCATGATTTAATGCACTTACTGCATACATATGAATCAGTAGGTGGCCTTTCAAAATTTTTATACAAATTGATTCATACCTTACACAGAAAAGGTTTGGCAATTGTTTGATCTACCATTACACTTTTTAGATCTACTTGTGTTAAAACATGTAATTCTAATTCAACTTAACTTTTACAGAGTATAGGTATTAAATATATGATATTCTACATCTTATTCCCAACTCATGGGGTCTTTTGCTATTGCAGATATTGCTGCAACAAACATCCTCATACGTGTCTCCTTGTGATACTGCCTGCGAGTTTCCTGAGGGTATATTTATACAAAGTAGAATTACTGGGGACAAGGGGCATGCATGCTTTTAATGGTACGAGAATCAGGCAATAGCTCTCCAAAACATCAGTGTCTTCCCCATTAGCAGCCTGTGCGTTTCCATTTGCCCATACGACCTACCCATCAACACTGTGAGAGACCTTCCAATGACTGTCACGATAGTCTCATCTAATGGTAATCACTCTGTTGAATTAAACATTCATTAATTTGCATTTCCCTAATCACTTCTGGGTGTCCTTTCCTGTGAGTGGACATTTCAAGATCCCTCTTTTATAAAGCCCTTGTTCTGATTCTTTGCCCAGTTTTTTTCCATTGGGTTGTTAATCTTTTCTTTCTTGTGGAAATGGGGTCTCACTAGGCTGCCCAGGCTTGTCTCAGACTCCTCAGCTCAATCCTCCCGCCTCAGCCTCCCGAAGTGCTAGGATGGCAGGCATGAGCCACTGCACCTGGCCCATTGTCTTAACAGTTTATAAAAAGAGCTTTGTGCATTTTGCTTGCCAAATACTTGTTATATATGTTGCAAATATCTGCTCCAAATCTGTCCACTGCCCACTGCATTTCAAAATGTAAACTGAGAAGTCTTGTGACGACAGGGCTCCCGAAATAGTGTGGTCTTAAAGTGTGGGAAGAGTGTGCACAGCTGCGAGCTGTACAGCCATCAAACCGCACAACAGCCGAAGCGATGGAACTTCCGTATTTGGGGAGCACTTTATGCTTTTCAAGGCATCTTTTTTTTTTTTTCTTTTTTGCAGGGACAGTATCTCACTCTCTCACCCAGGCTAGAGTGCAATGGTGAAATCTCGGCTCACCGCAACCTCCAGCTTCCCGGGTTCAACCCATTCTCCTGCCTCAGCCTCCCAAGTAGCTGGGATTACAGGCGCCTACCACCATGCCCACCTAATTTTTGTATTTTTAGTAAAGCTGGGATTTCACCGTCTTGGCCAGGCTGTTCTCAAACTCCTGGCCTCAAGTGATCCGCCCACCTTAGCCTCCCAATGTGCTGGGATTATAGGCGGGAGCCACCGCACCTGGCCAAGGCATCTTTCAATCCTCTAATTTCAGCCTCACAAAAACCTGAGGCTAGTGGGAACCCACCTCTTCCCACTGAGGGGAGGGCCTTGGTTGGGTGGTTGGTCGTCAAGACCCATTCAATGCTCCAAGTCTGACCTGTTACCCCGATTTTGCAGCTTTCCAGAACAACTCAGACCAGAGAAGCGGGTAAACCTGTCTGCAGTCACAGACCTGCGTAATGGTGGAGGAGAGCCCAAAATCCCACTCACCTGGTCTCGTGGACAGCGTCCGTCTCCCCCAAGAAAAGTCCACATCAGGGTGGTGCCAAAGTGGGCACCAGGAGACCTCGGGAAGACATGGGAAGTTGTGCATCACTGACAAGCACAGCGCTGCCAAAAGACCTAGAACGTGGCAAGACGAGAGCAGCCCGTCCACCCACCCAGGCCGCACCCACCTCGCCCCTCCATGCCCACAGGCCGCGCCCATCTTGGTGTTTCTGCCCCGTGAGAAAAGGATCGTGTGAACACAGGGGTACACTTTATTCCACTTTTATTGCGTAACCGCCATGGGGACCTGATTCTGAGCTAAGTGCTCTGCTGTGAGGCGTCACCAGATGTCATTGCTAGAGGCAAGAATCAGTTACAAAGATGAAAGGGAGGAACCTAATGCTATTTTTAATGGTTGTTATTCCATGCAGAAACACCGATTGTTCCAGAACTGGTATCTGAGCCCGTGACTGAATGGGAATGCTCATCTCAGTGTAAGACGAAGCCCCACAACGGCTGGGAACGCTGGAGGAGAGAAACGCCCCGGCAGCCAGCGTGAAGTTTTTCACCCGATTTGTGGCTCCACCCCCACGAGTCCACGAGGAGAAGCATTGCCGTGGGCAGCTCGGGCTCACTCTGTTCTGCAGTCCGGGGCGTGAGCTCAGGCCACCTGGGTGCATCCAGCAAGTACCACGTTCCCGTTTCTGGGCACAATGTCTCTAGGACGGGCCTGACCCCTTCTTCATTGCCCCAGAAACCACACATCCCAGAACAAATCATGCAAAGGTCCTCCGGCTTAATTCCCTGTTGTGGGTGGGAAGACAAAGACTCTCAGGTGGCCCATGCAGTCTCAATGGGCTCTGAATCCTCCACCTGGGGCTTATCATGCAGAATGACCTGTTTCTATTACTGCAAGATGGGACTGCCAGGTTTTCTTCTCCTGCCTTGGCTGCAGAGTCCCATTCCCGTCCTACTCAAAGCACTGGGACAGTGCTGGGTGCGTGACAGATGTTCCACAAGTATCCCCAAAACCAAATTGTGAGTGAGTGACGCTGCCCCTAGGTGCAGGCAGCCTCCCTACTAATTTGATAGCTTCAAGGAGTTAGCAAACTGCAGGTTGGGTGAATTCATTTGACAACTATAGAAACAGATGAAAAGTAATGCCCAGAGTCTCCGAACAGCCCTTTGCACTGGGAATGCAGAGCCACGAGAATATACACCTTCATGCTGCTGTCGGTTTGAACGGCTCACAAGCAAAACCTTAGAGGGACAGCATACGCATCCTCTAAAAGGCTTTTATCCTACATATAAACTTTTATAAGAGTTTGAGACCTAATGCTGAAGATGCATTTCCTAAGAAACTCAGTGCTATTTGTGGGGAATACAAAGCCAGGGCCTTCCCTGACGAAGACCCACGGAAAGCCCTGAGTGGTGGATGGGCCCAGGCTCAGGGTGGGGGGGCGGGGAGGCTTGGAAAGTGCTCCAGGAAAAACATCCACACGACAGAGAGCCAGCAGAGCAGTGGTCTCAGTCCACGACTCCAGGCCTAGCTTCCGTGGCCCAACCACTCCCTATGAGCACCGAGGGCAGTCCTGGTGCCCACCCAGAGGTGGTGGCCTGCACCTGGGACCTGTGCACCTGTGCAAGCTGCCCAGGCGGGTGGGAGTCAGCAACCAGGCCCTGAGTCCCCAGCTCTGTCAGCCTCCTCTGCTCCCTGAGCCACCTGTCCTTACAGTGCCTTTGAGGATGGTCTGTAAAAGAGGAAAACTGGACAGCTGGGCCCACGCCCAGTGAGAGGGTAGGTTCCGAACAGCACAGGGCCACACCCACAACTGTGACCTGAGACCGAGGCCTTCCCAACGCCTTGGAAACATTCTCCAGGATCCAGGGGAGAAGCCCAAACAGGAGCGCAGGAAGGGACTCAAAGGAGCATTGTTCTGTCTACAGCAGGCGTCCCCAAACTACGGCCCGCGGGCCGCATGCAGCCCCCTGAGGCCATTTATCCAGCCCCCGCCGCACTTCAGGAAGGGGCACCTCTTTCATTGGTGGTCAGTGAGAGGATCACAGTATGTGGCTGCTCTCCAGTGGTCTGAGGGACAGTGAACTGGCCGCCTGTGCAAAAAGTTTGGGGACGCCTGCTACAGCAATCACGCTGCTTCAGAGGAACGGGCAGAGACCCCTCTCGGGGCAATGCTGGGCACAGCAGGGGCAGCCAGCGGTGAGCGGCAGCTGCCCAACCTCTGCCTGCAGCTCAGTTGTAGGAGAGGTAATCGATGAGCCGGGGCGGAATGTTTAACTTGGCGATCTTCTCCAGCCCTCGGACGCCGGTGGCCTTTCTCAAGCTCACCCTGCAGAGCTGTGACAGAGTCAGAGGTGTCTCTGTAAAAGGGAATGAGGAAGGATGTGAGGTGAGTTTCAGGAAGGAGCACAACCCCTGCAACCAAATAAACTCAGATGGAATCAGAAACACCTCCCTTTCCCTGGGACCAGGATGCATCCTGCAGGCCATCTCTGTAAGGACAGCCAGGAACCCGAGGAAGGGAGCCCAGGAAAGGAAACTCGGGTGATGTCAACTGGATGGCATTTTGTGGGTTTGGGTTTTTTTGCCTTTTTTTTTTTTTTTTGAGACAGAGTCTCGCTCTGTCGCCCAGGCTGGAGTGCCATCTCGGCTCAATGCAACCTCTGCCTCCTGGGTTCACGTGATTCTCCTGCCTCAGCCTCCCAGGTAGCTGGGATTACAGGCACCTGCCACCACGCCCACCTAAATTTTGTATTTTCAGTAGAGACAGGGTTTCCCCATGTCGGCCAGGCTGGTCTAGAACTCCTGACCTAAGGTGATTTGCCCACCTCAGCTTCCCAAAGTGCTGGGATAACAGGTATGAAGCACTGTGCCCTGCCTGGTTTTGGTTTTTGAGCCACAGCATTTTATTTCAGCACCTAGATTTGTCATCAAACACCTGATCTACAGCTAGGAGGCTCTTCTGTCAAACAGCCAGCACAGGAGGCACAGGTCTGGTGCTGGGCAGGCGTCAGCTGCAGCTCCTGCTGCACCAGGCCACTGGCCCCAGGAAGAGCTGGGGCAGCGCCACAAACAGCCCCAGCAAAGTGCCCAAGGGTCTGTCCTGGTGCAAAGGGCAGGAGCCAGGACTAACAGCCTCGCTCTCCACTGAAGCCCGCAGGGAGCCAGCACACAGGGGCCCAGGCTGAAGGCTGGAGGGGTGGGGGGCGGGGGGCGCGCTCAGTGGGGTGCCTCACTTTCATAGTACTCAAGGCACTTGGCAGGAGCACTGCTGCTCCACGTGTAGTCAGACGGCTTCTTCCCACGGTTGTCCCGGGCGTAGATGTTGCCACCAAACTCAATGAGCATCTCGATGAGGTCGACATTCTTGACCTTGGCCGCGTGGTGTAGGGCCGTCTCATGAAGCTTTGCGGCATTCACGTTGGCCCCTGGAGGTCAAGAGCCGGGAACAGATTTCACCGAGAAGAGAACTTGGAGTGGGGGCTCGGGGGGACAGCCACATGTGTGTGCACCGTAGGCAGAAGCAATCCCCATCCAGAAGACAAAATCGAGACAGACTCTACCACAGCTTTCAAAAATGTTTTCAACATCCAAAAGCAGGAATTACTTACTGTTCCCCCTCATGAGAAGAGAGGTAAAGGCAGGCAGTGATAATAAATAAATAACTGGAAATAGAACCGGAAAGAAGAAAAACAATACAAAAAACATCCCTAGTTAACGGTTCTAATGCCCTATCAATCCGCCTTCAGGGGTCCTGAGGTTGCCGGAAGCTCCAATCAGAGCCCCTGCAGCATCCCCGCCTGGCCTGCAGCACAGACACACTCTGCTGCTTCCTCTTGCGGGTGCGGGACGGAGGCTCTGGAAACACTGGATGGATGAAAGAATGAACATTCCTTAACAATGCATGTTCTTTTACAAAAGGAAAACAGATAATGTACCCAATACAGTAGGCAATTCAGGGAAGAGAGTGAGCTCTGCACTCCTCAACTTTCTCAGGATAGGAGCGGACATTCAACAAGCTGATCAAAAGTAAAGTAGCACAATTAAAAAAAAAAAAAAAAAAAAAAGCAGACATTCAGAAAGACGAAAAGAATTAGTAGCTAAATATGGCTTTTTTTTTTTTTTTTTTTTTTTTTGAGACAGAGGTTCACTCTGTCCCCCAGGCTGGAGTACAGTGGCACAATCTTGGCTCACTGCAACCTCCGCCTCCAGGGTTCAAGCAATTCTGCCTCAGCCTCCCTAGTAGCTGGGATTACAGGCGAGAGCCACCACATCCAGCTATTTTTTGTATTTTTTGTAGAGATGGGGTTTTGCCACATTGGCCAGGTTGGTCTTGAGCTCCTGGCTACAGGCACAAGCTGCCACATCTGGTCAAATACTGCATTTTTTAAATGCACTAAAAAATTTTGATAAAAATATTTTGCAAAACATCATTCTTAGGGCACAGCCATCATTAATCCCATACAATAGACTCCCAGGGCTTCAGAATTCTTTTGCAAGAAAATGCCATTTTCTTCGAAGTCTGTTCCTCTGTAACAAAGGAGGTTATAAGATAAAATGAATAAGAATTATTTTAAAGAAGCCGAGCAAATCGCCCAGCATCAGTAAAATAATCTGCCAAATGACAGATTCAAACCGCAACCACAAAATATTATCAAAAGTGGGATTTTACAATGAACAGACCACCAGCGAGAGATCAATTACCGACAATTTCAGAGGGTCAGAAGAGGACCTGAAGGGTGGAAAGCTACATTTTCTAGTTCCTGTGCTCAAAAACTATCTGAAAAATTCTGCTTTCTGCTTTAAAATGTTTTAATCCCCTAAAAGCACATAAGAACCATGCACATAACAGCATTCATGGCATGATCCTAAGAATGCCCCAGCCAAGCCGGGTGCAGTGGCTCATACCTGTAATCTCAGCACTTTGGGAGACTGAGGTGGGTGGATCACAGGGTCAGGAGTTCAAGATCAGCCTGACCAACACAGTGAAACCCTGTCTCTGCTAAAAATATAAAAATTAGCTGGACGTGGTGGCGGGTGCCTGTAATCCCAGCTACTCGGGAGGCTGAGGCAGGAGAATCACTTGAACCCAGGAGGTGGCAGTTACAGTGAGCTGAGATTGTGCTACTACACTCCAGCCTGGGCAAAAAAGAACAAAACTCCAACTGTCCCAGCCCTCCAAAGTGATGACAGAAGTGAAGAAAGTTCTTTCCAATTCCCACAGCCAAAACTCAGAAGTCTGGCCAGGAAAAGGTGTAGAGAGCCAGAGGAGCCCACCCACTCTGGGGGCATCAGCAGCAAGGCTGCTGTGAGCTTTGGGCGAACGCCAGAGTAGTGAAACCATAATAGGGGAATGTGTATGTCTCAGAGAAGAGCAGAGAGGCCTAGAAAAAGACAACCAGCTCTCACTGACCTTGCTGCAAGATAGCTGTTAGCTGAAGTACGTTAACTGAAGCGTGAGAAGTATAACCACAGGCTGTTCTACGTAAGTGCGCCCTCCCTCTGCGATGTGCTTTGTAAACATGTAAGGTAAAGTACTCTGAGGCAGGTCGGAGCTGAAGAGACTGACACCATCAGCTTTTGGACCACCTGGTCCAGCTTTATCTATGTCTGTCTGTATGTCTGTCTTTATCCCCCGCCATTCCTTCTTCCATCTTTGAAGACTTGTGCAGCGCGGGACACAGCACACACCAGAAGAAGGATCTCTCAATTAGGAAAAACGCTAAATTACCTAGGTCCTGAATTCAGCAGAAATGTACTACAAAAAATAATATTTAAAAGCAATAGATTCAAAAAATATTTTCCCCACAGTTCGCCCTGTCTTTCACATAAGGGGTTTTCCTCCAGTACAAATGCTGCAATCATGGAAGAAGCAACTCTTAACACCAAGCATACACTTGTAATGAAAAACAGATTATACCATCCACAGAATCTAAAGTTCAAGTAGCTTTCTCTCATGTCATTAATTCTGGTAATATTCTTGCCAACTGGGAGAGAAAGTGATGATCTCTATTTTTACAAAAGGAAAAAAAAACAGAAAGACGCCCAAGGGAGGCACAGCTACTCTCTCACCATCAGGGGGACACGATGGCTGAAAAGAACTCTAAAAATAGGCCGGGCTCGGTAGCTCAAGCCTGTAATCCCAGCACTTTGGGAGGCCAAGGCGGGTGGATCACGAGGTCAAGAGATCTAGACCATCCTGGTCAACATGGTGAAACCCCGTCTCTACTAAAAATACAAAACATTAGCTGGGCATGGTGGCACGTGCCTGCAATCCCAGCTACTCAGGAGGCCGAGGCAGGAGAATTGCCTGAACCCAGGAGGCGGAGGTTGCGGTGAGCTGAGATCGCGCCATTGCACTCCAGTCTGGGTAATAAGAGCGAAACTCCGTCTCAAAAAAAATAAAATAAAATCACACTCCCTGCAGCGCTCCACAGGCAAGGCCTTGGCCAGGGGCTCTTGCAGAGAGGCGGCCTTCCCAATGCACATCTTTTCAAAATGTGTGCTTGGCATCATTTGACTGGGTGGAAGGGAAGGAAGGTGAATAAGAAAGGAAATGAAACTGTGAATAAAGAATTGAAGTGAAACAGCAGGCCGGGGTGCACGCAGCAGCATGGATAGACCCTGAAAGTGTAGCACCATGTGAGCCAAGAAGAGAGTCAGCGAGGAAAGCCCATCAGCTATGTGCATTAAAAATACACGCCTCAGTGCAGTGGCTCATGCCTGTAATCCCAGCACTGTGGGAGGCCCAGCCAGGTGCATCACCTGAGGTCAGGAGTTCGAGACTAGCCTGGCCAACATAGTGAAACCTCGTCTCTACTAAAAATGCAAAAATTAGCCATGGTGGCTCATGCCTGTAATCCCAGCTACTCGGGAGGCTGAGGCACCAGAATCACTTGAACCCAGGAGGCGGAGGTTGTAGTGAGCCGAGATGGTGTCACTGCACTCCAGCCTGGGTGACAGCAAAACTCTGTGTCAAAAAATAAAAGAGGGGAACAGATACAGAGGTAAGAAGAGAAGGAAGAGAGAAAGAGAAGGAGGGTAGGAGAGGGAAAGAAAGTGGCTTTGTGTGAAGTGAGGATGGTGACATACCTTGAACTGAGAGGCTTGAGAAAGACTGACAAAGACAGAGACACAGAGACAGAGACAGAGACAGACAGACAGACGGAGAGACAAAGACAGGGAGCTAGGAAACAACCGGGGAATTAAACGCTCTGAACTTCATCCTTCAGAGAAAAGGGGTCAACACAGGCTCATTATCAAAATCCTGCTTTCAATGCAAAATAGGATTACAGTGGATTCCAAAACCCGTGGCCAGCAATGAAGGGACCCTCTAAGACCTTGGCACACCCAGGCTGGCGCAATCCTGGAACGTCAGCACAAATAGCCCAATATGTGCTTGTTGAAACTAGAAAAAAAAAAAATTTAATTAAACAATTAAAATTTTTAAAAAAACAATTAAAAATTTTTAAAAATTAAACAATTAAAGAACTTTTTTTAATTGTGCCAGGGTCAGTGCTGAGAATCAAAGTGGAGGCATGACCGTCCTCAGGAGCCACTTCTGAACATTCCTGGCAGAGTTAAATATTCACTGTCAGCGATCAGATTAAAAATTACCTCACCATAATAACCGGACTTTCACACTCCCCCACCCCCGCCTCCTCTGCAAATACAGTCTGGTTCCTGGACTCGCCTCACCACCTACAAAGCGCCAGAACCACCATCTCCTCATCCCACAAGGGGCGCAACGCGGCTGCCTCACAGCTCAAGCTCTCAAACCGCACACAAAAGCACCTGTGATCATGTGGCCCTGACTGGTGCAGGCCCTCCCCCTCTCCACAGTAACTGGTTCAAATGACACAGGCTTGAGCCGATCAGAATTTGGCAAAGTTTGGGCAAAGGGACTGGGGAGGGTGCGGGAAAAGAGATTTCCCACTCTTCTGTTTCTCTGAAGACACGGTCCTTGGCTTTCCTTTGGTTTCCCCAAGGATCTATAACCTGACCCCAAAAGTTCAGAATCATTACTTCCTAAAGCCTCTGTGTGTGAGGATGTGGGGCATGCTGTCGTTTCTCTCTTCTTCTCTGCACGTTTGAAATTTTCCACAATTAAGAAATGGTTCCTAAGGAAAGGATGATGATCCATCTGCTCTTACGAGGGGTGTTAGGGGAGACTGCCCGAGAGGAGGGTGGGAATCAGGAACCGCACGTGGAGCTGATGGCTGGACGCTCCCCACAGCATCGAGTCGATAGCAACAATCACAGTGGGGAGGCTTCCCCCAAGAAAGCCGTGTTCATCTAACTCCCCAGGGGCATGCGAACTCCAGGGAGAGCTGCAGGAACCCCGCTTCAGGGTGACAGTGGGCATCACAGCTGCCCCTTCCTTTCCTGGTCGTGTGGCAGGCGCAGGAGGAGACCTGGCCTCAGCCCCAGCATGGGCCCCGCCTGCTCCAATCCCTCTCCCCTGACCATACTCATCGGTTCTAATCACCCAGGCTTCAGCCCATCAAAATTTGGCAACGTTTGGGCAGCAGGACTGGGGAGGGGTGTGTGAAAAGGGATTTTCCACTCTTCTGAGAGTCCCCAGAAAGCTTAACATGGGAAATGTCTGGCATGCAGGCCTGAAGCCACTGCAGCCCCGTGACCTTGCTCAGGGAAGCCAGAGGCTTAGGATAAAGTCAACACTGAGAAAAGCAGAATTGCAAAAATCAAAGAAATTGAGGTCTGGGTGACACCACAGAACCTCCGGTCCAGCCGCCCCTAAACCTGCTCCGAAGCCCCCTGAACTAGAAATGCCTGCCACTGTTTCCCAGGTGGAAGTGGCTTCCTGTTACTTGCAAAGGCATCACAACTGATCCAGAAAGGATGTTTGCTTTAAACACTAAGTTGATCCTTTTCCCTGCAACCACACCAAAAGGAACCAAGGTAAAAACGGAACCAACATGTAGCGAGCTCACAAAGGCTTGACAGGAATCACTGCCCTGTGTTGATAGAAACGGATCCAGCTGTCAGAAGGGCAGCTCGACCGGACACACGGACGTCTGCTTCGAATGGAGACATTTTTAAGACAGCGTATAAAAAAATTTTAAATACCCCAACAATTATTCTTACACAAAATGAATCCTTTCCACTAAAAAGACTTAAAAGTGGCACATGAAAGCAAATATGATTCTTCAATAGAAAACTACATATAGGGCCGGGCGCAGTGGCTCACGCCTATAATCCCAGCACTTTGGGAGGCCGAGGCGGGCAGATCACGAGGTCAGGAGGTTGAGACCATCCTGGCCAACATGGTGAAACCCCATCTCTACTAAAAATACAAAAAAAAAAAAAAAAATAGCTGGGCATGGTGGCAGGTGCCTAGAGTCCCAGCTACTCAAGAGGCTGAGGCAGGAGAATTGCTTGAACCCAGGAGGCGGAGGTTGCAGTGAGCCGAGATCGCGCCACTGAACTCCAGCCTGGTGACAGAGCAAGACCCTATCTCAAAAAAAAAAAAAAGAAAAGAAAAGCATACTTACAAAAAAAGAAAACTAAGCCGGGCGCGGTGGCTCAAGCCTGTAATCCCAGCACTTTGGGAGGCTGAGGCGGGTGGATCACGAGGTCAAGAGATCGAGACCATCCTGGTCAACATGGTGAAACCCCGTCTCTACTAAAAATACAAAAAATTAGCTGGGCATGGTGGCGTGGCACGTGCCTGTAATCCCAGCTACTCAGGAGGCTGAGGCAGGAGAATTGCCTGAACCCAGGAGGCGGAGGTTGCGGTGAGCCGAGATCGCACCATTGCACTCCAGCCTGGGTAACAAGAGCGAAACTCCATCTCAAAAAAAAAAAAAAGAAAACTAAATATATAATGAAGCTCAAATGGCTGTCACGGGGCGGGGGGTGGATTCATGATCTTCCTATCCTTAACAGGTTTTTTGTTGTTGTTGTTAGAGGTGGGGTCTTGCTATGTTGCCCAGGCTGCTCCAAACTCCTGGGCTCAAGCAATCCTCCTTCCTCAGTCTCCCAAAGTGCTGAGACCACACTTATGAGCCACCATGCCCAGCCATCGTGAGCAGTTTTATTTTATTCTACACCACACCCAGAATTTGGATGGATGAGATGATGAAACTAAAATTTTCCTTCAACAAAACATTTAAATTGGGTTAATGAAGAAAAAAAAAAACCTGCAACAACAGTCACTTTGTTTGGCTACATTTGAAAACTTCTGCCATAGACAGGTCCTGAACCTGATCCTCAGTTGGTTGGGTCTTTTTAGTTTTGATTTTTTTTTTTTCCCTCCTTAGGAATCTCAATCCCGAGTCTTTTTTGAACACCTGACAATGGCCTGGATTCCAAATGCTCCATTCTCCTAAACCTGTGGCTCCACTTCCCATTGCAACCCCTTCTCTCTTGAATTCAGGCAGCAACCTCACCAGGCAGCTGTGGGGACAGCGGGCTGTGATCTCTAGAAATAGTCACTGGCATTTGTTGCATACCAACTAGGACACACCAGGCACCAGGAACTATTCCAGTCCTCCCAGCCACCTGCAGCACAGATTCTTCCAGTCCTCAGATCTGTAAACTCGGGCCTGAGGTCTCAGCTGGCAAGCGGGACAGCCAGCCTCCAACCTTGGTCCCTCTGACTCCTCTACCCAGCTCTCTGCCAGGCACAGTGCAGGTAAACACCTGCCCAGGAAAATACCCGCTCAGGTAAATACGCTTGCAAGGAAACACCGGCTCAGGTGAACAGCCTTGCTAGTGTACACGCATTCAGACAAACTTCTCAGATAAATCTGTAAATATGCACTCCGTAGGTAAACACCCGCTCAGGGAAACATCCACGCACCTGCTTTGAGCAGCATTTTGACACAGTCCAGATGCTCCCGGGCACAGGCCACGTGCAGAGGGGTCCCAAAATGGCAGTCGTGTGCTTCCAGATTGGCCCCGACGTCAATAAGAAGCCTCACACATTCGGAACTCCCTTGAGACAAATGGAAAAGGCGGGACGTGCCCATGAATACGGACGCTGCAGACTACAAGCGCGACAGAGGCGCCAGAGGCGGCAGCTGCGGCAGGCCTCCATCCCCGGCGCCCACGTCCTGACCTAAGGAGGCGTTCACACCCCGAATGGCCTGCCCGCAGGAAGCCAGGACACAGCTCTGCGTGCCCCTGGGGAGGGGAGGGCTCATGGCCCGCCTGGCAGTGGGAGAAACAGGCCTGGCTGGCCTCTTGCTGTGAGAACAGAAGGCCTGGGGCACCACCTAGAATGAGCCAGAGAAGACTCTCCTGCTGCCCCCCACCACCCTGTGTCTACCCACAGCTGCAGGCACTGAGCCCAGCCTCCCAGGAAACCCCCCAGACTTTCTTAGGCAAGTCATCCTCCTGTGCCCCATGGCAGCCACCTCTCCTGCCTCTTTTTTTTAAACAAAGTCTCACTCTGTCACCCAGGCTGAAGTACGATGGCACGATCTCAGCTCACTGCAACCTCCACCTCCTGGGTTCAAGCAATTCTCCCACCTCAGCCTCCCAAATAGCTGGGATTACAGGCATGTACCACCATGCCTGGCTAATTTATTTTGTATTTTTAGTAGAGACGGGGTTTCACCTTGTTGGCCAGGCTGGTCTTGAACTCGTGACCTCAGGTGATCCGCCCTCCTCAGCCTCCCGAAGTGCTGGGATTATCAAAGTCATGAGCCATGGCGCCGGCCTCTCCTGCCCCTTCAGTGCTCCCCTTCCTGGGTCTATAATGTGGATCTGGATCGAGATTCCAGGCTCTCCACCCTCCTGCCCCTGTGCAGTCCGTCCAGGCTCCATCCTCTCCTGTCACTCAATTACCTCTTCACTGTTGGCAGCTCCCTGATTTTCCCCACCAGCCCCACAGCCATATGCTGGCAGCCGGCCACTGTCTCCCATCCAGAGCCCTCTCCCTTCCTGGGGTCCCCACTCCTAGCTCAAACCTGACTCACTTCTGACCTCTCAAGCCTCCTCTTTGTACCAAATCCTATGTATTCCTCCCCCAAGCCTTCTAACTGAACCCATCCCACTCCACCAGCCTACTCTGAGCACTGGGCACCTTGACCCCAGCAATGGTTCCAGGTCACCCCTCTGCTTCCAGGAGACCCTGACCACCATCGCCACCTCCGTCTATCTGCACATGGAGGGCCACTAAATGAAGCTTCCCCAAATTCTGTTTTCCTGACCCTCAACATCTGCTCAGAAACCTTCAAGAGCTCCCTAGCGCTGTTCCCATGGCCTGCAGACATGAAAAGACCCCAAAGCAGAAACCAGGGGTAAACCTACTCCGCAGTTTACGTATCTGTGAACCACAGATAGCCATGGCCCTGCCAGCACCGTGGAAGGGCACATACCCCAAACCCCGCACCCCAGACGTGCATCCAAAGACAAAGGCCATGCTGGCCAGTCACGATGCAAGCCACGGTTTTCAACCTCTACTCATAAGGCTAGATTCCAAACTCCTTACTCTGCCGTTTAAACATTGTCCCACCAGCTGGTCTCACCGCTCCACTAGGAGCTCCTGATGCAGTAAGACAGGACAAGGACTGTTTCCCATGCTCGGGGTCCGCTCTGATCTTCCCAGCCTCTGCCATCTGCCCATTCTTGGAGGGCAGCTGAGGTCCCACCTGCGCCCTGAGCCTGCTCTGAGAGCGCTGCGCACAGCCTCCTGGCCCAGGCTGTCGGGACACGCTGCTCCGTCATCTCCCATCTCAACCAGGGGCCTGCAGAGCAACCTACAGCAAAGCCCAGGTGAGCCTCTGCTGAGTCCCCCAGGCCCTGGTGCTAACGTGGAAGGGCTAGAGGAGCCCAGGCTTGCACTCAGAATCCTACCATAGAGTCACCCACCCAGCCCTGGACGCAAACCTCAAGGAGGAAAAGCTTAGAATCGCCACAGCTGAGCCACCAGGAGCCAGAAACAGACTCGGAACTGTCCTTCACCGACCAAGGGCTCCCAATTCCATCCACTCTGCTTCACTCCCAAAGCCCTTTAATTCCAGAAAGGAAGAAACTTCCAGGGCCTAGCTGGGTCCGCCGACTCACCGCTCATGCAGGCCTCGTGCAGCGGGGACGCTGTGTACAGGGGAGGGTTGACCTTGGCCCCGTAGGACAGCAGGAGCTTCACACACTCGATGCTGCCCGAGGCGCAGGCGTCGCAGAGCGGGGTGCTGCCATCGATGTTGCGGGCGTCCACCTCATGGGAGAAAGAAACAAGCGTCAAAGGGCAGGGAAATGCCGTGCAACCGCTTTCCCGGCCTGCCAGTTCATCTTCACACATGAGTTTGCTATTATGTGCGAGGCAAGGACACTGAAAGAGACAGCAGGTGGCTGGGGGCGCCCATAGCCTCTGAGTACAGAAGTCACCTCATTCAGGATTCTTTTCTCTTGAGGCAGGATAAGCTCAGCCAACCCCTTGCCACCCTCTGCTAAGCACAGAGCAGAACAGGGGAACTCTAGGTTGCAAGCTGGGAGAGGCAGGCTTTAAAAATGGGTTTTAAGGGGCCAGGGATGGTGGCTCATGCCTGTAATCTCAGCGCTTTGGGAGGCCAAGGTGGGCAGATCACGAGGTCAGGAGTTTGAGACCAGCCTGGCCAACATGGTGCCGCCTCTACTAAAAATATAAAAATTAGCCGAGCATGGTGGCACGTGCCTATAGTCCCAGCTACTCGAGAAGCTGAGGCAGAAAAATTGCTTGAACCTGGCAGGTGGAGGTTGCGCTGAGCCAAGATCACACCACTGCACTCCAGTCTGGACAACAAAGCAAGACACCATCTCAAAAAAAAAAGGGGGGTGTTTAAAAAGTCTAACCTCAGTTGGGCATGATGGCTCACACCTGTAACCACAGCACTTTAGAAGGCGAGGAGGGACGGTCACTTGAGCTCAGGAGTTCGAGACCAGCCTGGGCAACACGGCAAAACCCTGTCTCTATAAAAAAATACAAAAATTAGCTGGGTATGGTGGCATGCACCTGTGGTCCCAGCTACCTGGGAGGCTGAGGTGGGAGGATCACTTGAGTCAAGGAGGACGAGGCTGCAGTGAGCTGTGATCACGCCACTGCACTGCAGCCTAGGCGACAGAGTAAGACCTTGTTACAAAAAACCAAAAACACACACAACTCTACCCTCAATGGAAGGCTTGCCAGAGACTGCTTACCACGCCTCCCCTAGTGAGAAACTCAGAGGCCAGGAAAAAGGCAACTCCCCAAATTAGCAAATTTTATTTAGCACTTGTCCAAATTCAGCTTCTGTTTGGGTACACACTGACACTGGTTTCATTCCAAGCTTTCGGGAAGAGTAAACAGTACACCGTCTTCCCTTCTTCCCTGCCAATCCCCCGGCTTCAACTGAGACCAGAGCCCTGTGTCCCTTATACATTGGCCAGGGGTGTGCAGGGCCCGTGTTTGCCAGCTCAGGAGAGCCGGCTGCCAAAGTACCAGGAATTCTGCTAACCAGAAACCCCGGGTGGCTTAACACCGGCCAGGATGGGAACATTTACACCAGGGAAAGCAGCAACACAGAGTTTTGCTTCTGCTCCTTTTTTCAGAGAGCAGGCTGGCTGCATCCCACTGAGGCATCCTGGAGCCAGAACCCTGCTCTTTGGGCCCAAGCAGCAGCTCTGCGTCCAGGCCGGGCCGCCCCTGAAAGCCTGTATCTAGGCTGCAGCCTGCTTTCTCCTGCTCACGGCAGGGTTGGCGCTCCCACCAGCAATTTGCTCAGGCTGCCCTTTCTTCTACCACCACGACCTCCTAACAGCCAGGTCCACGAGCACTTCTCAGCCATGGGCTTCCCGGTCCTTGTGTGCAGTGGACGCAGTGCAGCCCCGGCCCTGTTTCCCAACTTCTCCTCCATTCTGGCAGCTGCAGCCAGTCTGGGGGTCTTCCCTGAAGGGCCACTCACCTGGGCCCCGGCCGCCAGCAGCAGCTGCACGCACCGCGCCTGGCCCTGCAGACTTGCTGCGTGCAGGGGCGTGATGGAGTCCACAGTGACCTGGTTCACACAGGCGCCGCTCTCGATCAGCTGCTGCAGCTGCAGGCTCTCACCCCTCTGGGCTGCCTCGTGCACAGGGGTCCGCTCCACCCAGAAACCTGGAAAGGAAGGGGACCTAACGCTAAGACCCTGCCACTTCCATCCAGGACACATGAGCATATGTAAGACTCCAGGGCCTCTGATGCCACCAAGGTACCATCCGTGATCATGCAATTGTCCCAGCACTTCTATAAAGACCCCTGAGCCACCCCCACTGCCTGAAGGCTGGAGTCCAAGCTTCTGGCCTACAAGGGGCTCCGTCCTGTGGGCCCCGCTGGCTGACCTCCACGGCCCACCTCCCACCACCGCCCTGTGCAAAGCCCACTCTGCAGGTATAGGCACTCACCACTCCCCGCAGTTCCACACCTGCACCTCTGTGCACATCCTTCCCACTGACACGCCCCCCTCTGCCCCCTGCCAATTGTCCACTCTGGTAAAAAGTTTACATCCTCCAGGTGGGCCAAGGTAAAACAACTTCTCTGGGAAACACTTCCCGCAACGCTCACACACACACATTCAAAGTCCTGCACTGACAGTGTCTTCGGCGCGAGTGCCCTAAGAAACCATGTTTTCATTACTCAACTTTAATGGCTTCCTCAGGCTTGTCTATGTACAAGGTCATGTCATCTGCAAACAAAGATCGTTCAACTTCTTCCTTTCTAATGTGGATGCCATTGATTGACTGATTTTTGAGACAGAGTCTCACTCTGTCACCCAGGCTGGAGTACAATGGCATGATCTCAGCTCACTGCAACCTCTGCCTCCCAGGTTCAAGTGATTCTCCTGCCTCATCCTCCCGAGTAGCTGGGATTACAGGCATGTGGCATCACACTCAGCTAATTTTTATACTTTTTTTTTTTTTTTGAGACGGAGTTTCGCTCTTGTTACCCAGGCTGGAGTGCAATGGTGCGATCTCGGCTCACCGCAACCTCCGCCTCCTGGGTTCAGGCAATTCTCCTGCCTCAGCCTCCTGAGTAGCTGGGATTACAGGCACGTACCACCACGCCCAGCTAATTTTTGTATTTTTAGTAGAGATGGGGTTTCACCATGTTGACCAGGATGGTCTTGATCTCTTGACCTCGTGATCCACCCGCCTCGGCCTCCCAAAGTGCTGGGATTACAGGCTTGAGCCTCCACGCCCGGCCTATTTTTATACTTTTAGTAGAGACAGGGTTTCATTATGCTGGGCAGGCTGGTCTCGAACTCCTGACCTCAGGTGATCCGCCCGCCTCAGCCTTCCAAAGTGCTGGGATTATAGGTGTGAGCCACTGTGCCTGGCCCTTTTATTTCTTTTTCTTGTTGAATTGCTTTGACTAGGACTTGCAGTGCCATGTTGAACAGAAGGGGTGAGAGCCAACATCCTTGTCTTGTTTCAGTCTCAGGGGGAGAGCATTTGGTTGTTCACCTTTAAGGATGATGTTAACTGGGTTATTCTTTTTTTTTCTTTTGAGATGGAGTCTTGCTCTGCCACCCAGGCTGGAATGCAGTGTCACCAACTCGGCTCACTGCAACTTCCACCTCCCGGTTTCAAGCTATTCTCCTGCCTCAGCCTCCTGAGTAGCAGGGACTACAGGCGTACACCACCACGCCCAGCTAATTTTTTGTATTTTAGTAGAGACAGGGTTTCACCATGTTGCCCAGACTGGTCTCGAACTCCTGACCTCAGGTGATCCACCCACCTCGGCCTCCAAAAGTGCTAGGATTACAGGCGTGAGCCACCGCACCCGGCTAAGAGTCACATTTCTTTACTGCCTAAACCAGGTGCAGACAAAATCTCGGTAACTAGTAAAGATCATAAACTCCCCAGACGCAGAAGCCATGCCTATGTTTTCTCAGCACCCATCTCAGACATGGAGGAGTCTTCTAGAAACTTTAAAACGTCATAAATGACAACAGTGCTGGAGGCAAGCTGACATATCCTTATTGCCAGCTCCCCAGCTTCAAGCAGACAAGATCACATCACACACCTCTTCTCAATCAACAGTTTCCTTTTACTATTCCGATATGTCCCTGAAAAACTTGCCTATCACCTGGATCTTCCCCAGATTATACTTTCACAAAGTGTATCTGGGCCGGGTGCAGTGGCTCACACCTGTAATCCCAGCACTTTGGGAGGCTGAGGCAGGCAGATCACGAGGTCAGGAGTTTGAGACAAGCCTGAACATCACGGTGAAAAAACCCTGTCTCTACTAAAACTATAAAACAAATTAGCCAGGCGTGGTGGCATGTGCTGGGTAGTCCCAGCTACTCGGGAGGCTGAGGCAGGAGAATCGCTTAAACCCAGGTGGTAGAGGTTGCAGTGAGCCGAGATCATGCCACCGCACTCCAGCCTGGGCAACAAGAGCAAAACTCCGTATATTAAAAAAAACAAAACAAAACAAAAAAAAAAAAACGTGTATCTGCAGCGAATTTCTTCTGCAGGTGGGTAGTCTCATCGGTTAGTGCTGATGACTCTGTTTGCTCTTAGCAATCCCCACATTGCTACCCCCAACCTCACCTCTCTTTTGGGCACTGAGTACAAGGTTAAGAGTTCCCTGGTGCCACAACTGCTCAGAACTGCTCAATGGAAACTCAGCTCAGCCTTTTATCAGCTTACCCCAAACCCAACTTCCCTGAGTGTCCATTTCTTTACCTATAAGTAGTAATACTATTTTCTCTGCATAGGTGGACTATGAACATTAAACGAATTGAAACAGGTAAACGCACTTAAAGGGTGGGGCTGGCACCGAGTCATTGCTCAATAAACGTTGTCTGCAGTATTTTAGCCTCCTACCTGTCTTGCCCACAGCCAGAGAGCCCGGGTGACCCTATGTCAGGAAGTGGAGACCAGGGAAAACTGAAGCAGAAAGGAAGATTCAATCCCTACAAAATGTAAAAGTCAAGCTTGTGGAACTTTCTACTTACCATCTCCAGGTGGCCGTCAGCCCCACCAGGAGTAATGAACAGTAACCCACTGCTGTCCTGCGGTTACTGAGAAGTGGCTTAGTGTCACTTTAAAATTAACCCACGGGGAGCAAAATCCCAAGGGTAGGAGAGGTTGCCACTTGAAAAAGAAGAGGAAGGCAGGGTGAGGCCTAGGCCTTGCAGCAAAAAAGAAAAGTATATCTCAGGAGGCTGCCTGAGCTGGGAAGGCGCATTCCCGACCTGCCTCCATTCACGACGTCCAGGTGCATTTAGCGTCTCCCGCTGCGGCACACAAAGAGGACTAAGATGCAGCAACAGGCAGCTCACAGTTAGGGACCAGGGAATAAATGTGCAGATATTCACAACACGGGCCAAGCGCGGTGGCTCACACCTGTAATCCCAGCACTCTGGGAGGCCGAGGCAGGTGGATCATGATGTCAAGAGTTGGAGACCAGCCTGACCAATGTTGTGAAACCCTGTCTCTACTAAAAATACAAAAATTAGCTGGGCGTGGTGGCACCCGCCTGTAATCCCAGCTAATCAGCAGGCTGAGGCAGGAAAATCACTTGAACCCAGAGGAGGAGGCTGCAGTGAACTGAGATCGTGCCACAGCACTCCAGCCTGGGCAACACAGCGAAACTCCATCTCAAAAAAAAAAAGATAATTCACAACATGACAACTGCGATCACGTCTGGTGACGGGGACTCAGAAGCAAGAGCCCCCGCACCCAGGGATGGCCAGGAGGTCACAGAAGCTGCAGAGCTGCAGCTGGGTCTATCTCAGGCACTGCTTACTTGCCTGTGGACCCCATCACCTGGCACTATCCACGAAGACGCTGGTGTCCACGTGGTTGCTCAGTGAGTGAGTGGATGAGTAAATGAATGGAAGGAGTTACTAAAACCAATGATAAGTCTGTGTAGCAGTGAAACAGCAAAAGAACCAACATTTTTGTTTAAGAGGCTTTTACCCATTCTTACACAGAGGCTGGGATAATTTAAGAGCATTGAGATAATATGCAAAAAGAGCAATCACATAGTTTTAAAATTAACTCTGGGATTAAAAGGAAAGCATGTAAACAACTAGTTATGTTTTGTTAAAGATTTATAGGAGCACTGTGACCTGATCAAGGACAAAGATGTTCCCAGCCTCCTTGGACCCTCGCTGGTGTCCAGATGTCCGTGGTCCTCCGTTACCTCTTGATCCCAACAGCCTCCTCTTCTTACGGCCCTCAACAGAATTGAGAAACCGAAATCTGTACTGACTTAGATGGCACTTTGTACACTTGTTTACCATCTTCCTGGTTTGCTGGCTCCCAAATAAAACTGCCACCAACTCTTGTTGCTTCTGTTTGGCTTTTGAGCAGCAAAACAGCCGAATCTGGGTTCAGTTACAACTATAACATTTTTTAAAGGAAATCTAATTTTATTTCCCTCTATGACCAACCTATAAAGAAAACGCAACTTATTTCTAGTGAATCACATCAACTGCTGTGGTCTTAGCAGCAGCAATTAAGAGCAAAAAGCAGCAGCAGACATGATAAGAAAAAGAAAGAAACTTCCGTGCATCAAAGGGCATAATGAGTGAAATGGCAACCCACAGAATGGGAGGAAATATGTGCATGTCATATACCTGATAAGGAGTTAGTCCAGAATACACAAGGAACTCCTGCAACTCAACAACAAAAAAACCCCAAATAACCAGGCTTAAAAATGGGCAAAAGATTCGAACAGACATTTCTCTAAAGAGGATACACAAATGGCCACAAGCATAAAAAAAGGTATTCAACATCACTAATCATTAAAGACAGGCAAATCAAAACCACAATGAGATCCTGCCTCACACCTGTTAGGATTATAAAAAAAAAAAAAAAGAAAGAAAGAAATACGTGTTGGAGAGAATGTGGAGAAACTGACACCCCTGTGCACTGATGATGGGAATGTAAAATGGTACAGCCACTGTGGAAAATTGTACAGCAGTTCCTACAAAAATTAAACATAAAAGCTCACATGATCCAGTCACTCCACTGCTGGGCATAGCTCCAAAAGAACTGAAAGCAGGGTCTTGAGGAGACATTCATTTGTACACCCACATTCATAGCAGCATTATTCTCCACGCCAGCAGCTAGGGCAAACAAAGCATCCAGTGGAATATTATT